GTTCAGTACCCCCATGAAAACACACAGACCCCACGCTGGGCCTTCCAGGTTAATTTCACCCAGAACCACCATTGTTTCCCCCCCTTACCTTTATGCTCTGTTTCTGTATTTCCAGTATACTGATTGTTCAATAATATCCTCTAAAACCTCTAAGGCCTTTTAAGAACTGCTGAGTTTCTACTGAGATTAAATTGAGCATGGGTGAAATTTATTTGACATTAACATAGGTTTAAAGCAGTGCATTTGTTTTCCGGATATCAGAATAAATGGGGTTAAATAAAAATGCACAATTTTTTTTTTCTTCAAATCATACATTATTTACCTTTCCCTTCACAGATACACATGCCTATGTTTTAATCTATCACTTAAGATCCCAATAAAATGATTTGAAATTCAAAATGTAAAAACTATAGAGGTTTCAATAATTTGCAATGGCCTTGTAAATATCCATGCATCAAATGATTTTGTGAAGCAGATTAATTCTTCTCCGATGTTTTTTTTATTTTTTTTTATACACTTGGAGCGTTAAACTACAACATAAAAATACAACTTTTCACAAAGTCTCCACTGAGAAAAACATAAGACAAGTTTTAGGAATACATTTTCCACATTCAACTGGATTGACAGCTCTACTTATTATTGCATGCAAGTTATATAATGTTCCCTTTAATGTGTTTTTGTTTTTCTTCTACTTCCACATCTATTCTTTTTCTTTGGCACAGATAGCATTTTACTTTGTTATACCATTTCATCAACCGACTCCAAGCGTCGCTAATTATTTATTTACTTGGATCAAATTACTTTGTTGAATTTTCAGGATATAATTATTGGATTAAAGGATCTCGGATGTCTAGAGATGAAACAGTGATAAAACATCCCCAAGTCAAAAAGTAAATAGCAGGAACGCTTGAGGCGTTTTTTAATTTTTCCTTTTTTTTCCTGTTCTGTTAACTTCAGACGTGTTTTCTCCTCCTGTGTGGAACAGCACACGGATCTCATAAAAATGTGAGTTGAAATCACTTCTGATTATAAATATGAGGGAAAGCCGGCCAAAGACGTGGCTCAGCTCAGACCATCCCCCTAGTTCTCACCGTTAAATGGGGCGGGGTGGGGGGGTAGCAGGATTCCTGAGTTGTCTGGCTCTGACTTCAAAGAGAGAACTGGGAGTTATAAAAGGACTCTGATAACAGTGCAGGCTCCGAACCCTCACTGCTAACTTCTCGACCCCCTCCCACCCCAAACGCCCTTATTTGGGGGATGGGCTACAGAAAACAAAGCAATTAGAATGGGTGGAAATAGCATGCATGTGTCAAATATTCCCCTCAATCTGTCAAATAAAGTAATCATTTTCATGTAGAAGATCATGATTGCTTCAGTGGGCTGTAAGAAAGAAG